AAAATTAAGTCTTGTTTAGAAAATATTTGTATGCCGAAAAATAGAATATATCCATGTCTATATATACATATAAGGCACTTAATTTTATACACATATATATAATTTAGGGTAACGTTCATTTTGTTTTATTTTTTCATTCTTTGATATTAGTACAAGGAAAAATTAGTTGTATAAGAAATTTAACCTGCTTATATTATTATAGGCTTAGTAAGCAGTTTTAAAAAAAAATAATCAAAAAAAGTTTTTTTTTGATAATATTAGCACAAACATGATATTTATAGTATAACTAGTATATAAATTAAGTAACTGGCCAATCAGAATTTCTGGATTAATAATATTGTTGTTGTTATCAAAAAATTAAAAATGGTTTCGAAATTAGAAGCAAAAGATAAAAAATACAGAGAAGTTTTTGCAAAAAAATATTAAATAAATTTGAATTTTTTTTTTAAATATAATTATTTTAAATTATTAAAATTATGATATTTGAATTTGATAAAAATTCAAATAATCACAAAAAATTGCATATAACGAGGCGTTAACAAATATAAGTGAAAAAATCGTGTTTTATTGTTTTATTTCTCATAAGAATTCTAATAAGTATAAAATTTGAAATTTTGTAAACATTAATTTTTAATATTTTTACTTAGGTCACAAAAAATCATTAATCTCATAAAGAGAATTTTATATTTTAACAGTCAGTCTTCTTGACTGTTACGAGTATAAATTATTTGAGCTCAAACATTTTTTTACTTTTTAGTAAAAATTCACAACAATGTAAATAAGGGTATATGATTAAATTTTACAATTAAATAACAATTAAAAATATATTGTCAGTAAATTTTGCATAAAAATAGGCGCTGAGACTTTGATTTAACTGGAAATACGAGTATGATACAGAAATATCTTTTATCCGCCCAATCCTGGAATTATTTTATCTGGAAATTCTACAGATTCGTTCTTATATAGCTAGTACTTAATATTTTAAATTCATATTTCTATTGAATTTTAAAGAAAACATTTAATATATATAGATAAACAACTATTTTTATTTAAATATTCAACAATGAATGGCAACACTTTTAATTTGATCGTTTGCTATTAAAAATTATTCTTAAACGTATTCTCTCATATGTTCACGTTTTCTCATAATATAAAAAATTGAAAAATAATAATGAATTAAAAATTATAAATAAATTATAACAACAACTGAGAAGGTGTATATAATTTAATTTTTATATAATCTATGCTTAATATAATTATTAAATAAACTAATTATAAAATTATTGCACAATAAATACGTGTTTTATTTATGCACATTTTTTTTATAATTTAAAATTTCATTAAAATACAAAATGACATGAAATTGTTATTCATATATATATATATATATATATATATACTTATTTAATATCTAATTTTCATTTCCGATTTAAAATATTTATTTTATTTTTTATTGCTATTAATCTATGTAATTATGATCAGATATCAAAGTAAATTTTACACTTAAAATTTACTAGTGTTGAAAAATATTATCTAATAAATTCTGTTTTTAGAATTTTAAATCCATTTCAATTATTACTTTATAATTACATAAGATAATTAGTAATGTGTAAATTATATTACTGTTGACATTTGGATAAATTTTTTTTTAATATATACAAACATATTATTGTGTATATATAATTAGTAGTAATAGTAATATTACGCATTACAATTAATTTACGTTTTATTTGAAGAAAAAAAGTACTATTTAATTAATATAGATATAATTAATATAAGTAGTTACTTATATACTAGTATTTTATAATTAATTGATATTAATTGTTAATTAATTATAAATATGAAAATATTTTGAATTTTTATAATTTGTCATCTGATAATTCATTTTCATTAATTTCTAAAAAGAAAACTAAATTTTTGATTTTGAGTAATTTAATCAGAATTTTATGGGGTAGCGCCATCAAATATCATACATTAATTCTCTCTTTCATATTTTAAATATATTAGATTGACATGCATTAGATATAATGTATATTAGAGAGCTGTAATTTAATTAATTAACTTAAAATTAAATTTAAAATTTGAAATTAAACGGAACTATTTTTAGTACCTATGTGTGATAATTCCAAAATTATAATTAAAAAATTTTGGTAATTAAATTTTTAATGTCATCTTAATTAAGTAGTGCAAATGAACAAGTAATAATTACTGAAAACGATCGCATTAATTATTAAGTTTATTTTAATTTGACTTAAAGTTCATAGTTTATTTAGATTGCGACAATATTTATATCCTTATTATATTGTCATAAAGTACAGATAATTCTACAGTTTATTCATATTTCATAGGTTCATTGTTAAATTTCTATTGTTTTCATATTTACATTAATTTCATGAGTCTTAATGTATGAGTAGTAATTAAGCTTATTTTCATGAGTCTATTTTATTCATATGTACAATATATATATAAATTTATACTGTATAACAATTCCCATTTAAATATTCCATGTTAAAAAAATAGAAAATGGAAAATTACTTTATTATAATAATTTGCAAATTGAATAATAATAACTAAACTAATAATATTTTTGTCTATTAACATAATATGTAATGTACGTATAAATCGTATATAATATATATATATATATAAATCATATATATAGTATATGATCTTTGTTATTTTATAAACAATTTTAATCAAATATTTATTTTAGAATTCCATATAAATTAGCACCCATTTTAACTAAAAATAAAAAAAAACTAAACAAATTTTTTTTAGAAAATGCACAATAATAGGATGCGAAATAATTTAACAAACTAATAAAATATAATTTTTAAATTGAATATAGTATGTATATATATTAATGTGGTATGTATACTCGTATGTATATAATATAGTTTCTAAGAATTTCATTGATTCTATTCAAATAATATGAGTCAAATTATATTATAATATTGTGGTGACATGAGTTCAAATATTTACTTATTATAGAATTTTATAATATAATTGAAGATTATATTACGTGGTATACAACCAAAATATTATTGATATATAAGTACGTATATATCATTTGATATTTTTAATTTTAATAAAAATCTATTTATAAAATTTTATTATATAAACAAGAAAAATTATTAAAAAATCTCATAAAATCTTTGAAAAATTTTGATATATTGTTTAAATTAAATTGTATATTAAAATTTCGAAGTAAATTACTATTATATGTGTATAACAGATTTATATTTAATAAATATTTTATATGTTAAAAATTATTATAAATAAATTGGATATGCGTAAGCATTTTGTTTTGTTTAAATCAGGAAGAATTATACTCAAAATTTTGTTATATTTTTTTTTGTTTTCAATCAATTTTTATATTCAACCTTGACTAATTTTAATTGTTTTTTTTTTTGGAAAATAAGCAATATGCGTCTTTATGTTGAATTGAAAATACAGGATGCACTATCAATAATATATAACAAACAATGTGAGTACATTAAATGAGTACATATGATTTTGTGAACCGTATTGAATTTGTCTAAACATCAAATGGACAATACCATATAAACCTTTTAAACTAGATATAAATTTTTAAATACAAGACTTAAAGAGACTCGTAAATTAAAATAAATAATTAATTTATTATTTAATTTCCCTACACGAAGGTTTTATTATAAAATAATTTCGTTGTCAGAAATCAGGAAGGAATTTTTGTGAAGAGGAGATTTCTTAAGAGTTATATCATCTGTGTAAGGTGACTATGCATGAAATTAACTACCATACCTGAATTTATTGAAGGTATAAGTACTTCTATGAGAGAGAGGGAGAGAGTACTTAAAGCGTAATGCATGGTACTGTATTAGATAATTACTTAGAGTGCTCAATATATTCTAAACTATTGAAAACTGAAAATATTAATTAATATTTATTGAAAAATAAATAAATATTTATTGAAAATAACAACGATATTTTCTCATACTACAGAAGATAAGTGTACTTCACATACATTTTCTCATACGAATAATAAGAATATTAAATAATTTAATATAAATAATTATTTTCTATAAGTATAGAAAAAAATTTCAACGAATAAAGAAATTTTATTCTTCCCCAAAGTATAATTACATGCATATATATATTTCAATGAACATTATATGATTTCAATAAAGTAGAATTAATTTTTTCTTTTTATGTAATATAGAAATTGTGGTAGGTTGATCATTTTACATAATTAATTATAGTTATATATATGTATACAATTATATTACTTAAGTGTACAAAATTATGTATACGAGTATATAATTATTGCATTAAAATCGACTAATTATTAAGTAATCATAGCAATTATTATATTTATGTATATATATATATATATATATATAAATATTAATTTATTATACAATAACTTGTATACTTAATACTCGAACAAAATTAAAAGTTTAATATTAATAAAACCAGTTTTAGTAATTTAATTTAATTATGTAGGTAATACAAGTATGTACATACATATATATATTAATATTATAGAAAATAAATTAGATATTTAATTTCATTATTAAAATTAAAAATTATGAGTCTATTGAAATGTTGAACTCATATTAAGTACAGCAATTTTAAGTTTAATTAAGAAAATTGTGATTTATTATAATTTATAATTTTATAGATTTGAGAATTAAGTATAAATTTCCTGACATTATTTAAAAAAAAAAGGAGTAAATTTAAGGAGTTCTATATAGGAAGGTCAAACAAGTATTCTAAACAAAAAAAAAATATAAGATAACAATATTAATTTGAGGGCAATTAACTTGATCTTTTGATAAAAATGTACTTTATGAATTTTATCTTTAAATAAACGTGTATGCAAACTGGTGAATAATTTAATTTATTATATTTCCAAGTATATATGTATATAAGTAATATTGATAGCAAATCTTAATAATTATGACTATAATATATTTTTTAATATAATTATAAATTATTAATTAAAATGAAATACTTACAATATTTGTTTTCCAATATTTTCTTGTTCTATAATAATTGTTTGATTTTGTATTATGGTAATGTTAATTAATTTTGTAAATTGTTTAATTAAATCACATGTGTATCTGGTTCCAAATAAATCCAAAATAATTCCAAAATAAATAATTTTTTTAAAAAATAAATTTCAAAATATAATTTTAAGAATCAATTTTTTTTTCTTATCAAATCCAAATATTCATAAATGGAAATATTTTTATATTCATAATTATTATTAAAATAGTTAATTAAAATATGTAAATATTTTATTAAGTAATTATTATATATATATATATATATATGTATTTTAAAATTATATCACTTTTTTATTTTAATTTTTAAAACTAATATATTGCAGTTTATATTTTTAAGATTTTTATTTAAAAAAAAAAAAAAAAATTTCCTTTTTGTTTAAAATTTGCTGCTCTATGCCACTTTAATAATGCACTTAATTGTAAATTTATTATATATATAGTGCGTATTATTTATGTAATAAAAACTATAATAATAAAAAGAAATAAAATTTATAATATTTAAAAAAAAAATATGTATATTTTAATATAATAATTTGTTCTCAGTTATTTATTTTTAAATTAAAAAATATGTATTTAACTTAATTAACCTAATTGAATAATAATTGAATTAAAAATTAATTAAAAAAAAAAAATATTAATTAAATTAATGTAGACAATTCAGTTTTAAATTCTTAAATTTTTTGTATTTTTGAATTCAAAATTAAAATAAAATTAATTTTGCAAATTAATTAATAATAAAGTTTGTAATAATATGTAAATATGTAAAGTTTTCTTAAAGAATATGCAATTTTAAATTGATTTTATTTTAATTTTTTATTTCAATAATGCTTTATTTTTTTGATGTGTAGGTTGTATAAAGAATCAAGTTCAATATTTCTATTTAATTTTAATTAATTAAATAATTTAATGTTCAATTTACAATATTCTATTATTTAAATTTATTTAACTCAAAATTTTAATTACATTCTCGTCACAAAATTAAGTTTTTTTTTATTATAAAAATATTCAGTATTAAAATTTTTATATTAAATAATAACTCAATTAATTTTACTCATTTATATTTATATTTTTACTCAAAATGTTTCCATTTTAAATGTAATATAAAATGTACTCAAATTATTTTTATTATTTTTACAGTTTTTCAGCTCGTAATACGAGTATATTATTTATTTGAAAACGAAAAAATTTAAAAAAAACTCATATATTTTTGAGTGTTAAATTTTTTGTATAGAGTTAAAAACTTGTAATATACTCTTAATTTTGAGTTAAAAATTAAATAAAGAGCTCAAACAATGCTTATTTAATATTATATTTTTCTTTTTTTTTTTTTTTAATTTTTACTAATAAAATTTTTTAAATTTGTAAGTATATTTTATTTCTCTATATATTTTTAAATGTATTATTTATTTTAATTATAATTCATAATTTTTAATAATTTCCTTATTATTCATTTCATGTAATCATCACGTTTAATAGTTTAATAGTTTTTTTTAAAATTATTAATGAAAAATTAATTAAGTATAATGAATAATAATTAATTTAGTATTAAAATTGCAAAAAAAAAAAAATGTTTTAAAAAATTAATTTTAAATTATTTAAATTATTTATTGTTATGTTTTTTCCATTAATTCTTATATGATTTCAATCTTTAACAATATTAATAAATTCTATTCATAATTAATTATAAATAATTGTAAGTATTGCGTTATAATTGTTACTAAATACATATAATATATTATGTACATATATGTATATTCAATTATTTCATTAAAATTTCCACAAATAATAAATGTATAGAGTCACAATAACTATATTATATTGTTCTTACTTATTGTATGTAAGTCCTACGTTCATTATATAAGCTATATGTTCCCATACTTCATACACATACAAATGATATATCTAGGTTGCAAATATAAATCACCTTCTTTTTATAATTTGCTTAAATGTTTATTTATTAAAAAAAAAAAATTTCACTTTAAAAATTTTTATTATTTCTTCATTTAATGTTGTTCCAGAAATACAAAAAAAATATTGTTTTTTTTTGTTTTATGATTTATTGTGTTGTTTTATTGGTTTTCTTGCTGTTTTACTTTATATCCTTGTAATAAAATACTCACTATGTACTCTTAATAGTTTATAAAATGTTATTTTTTTTGTATTGTGTATATACATATATATATATATATATATATATATATATATATATATATATATATATATATATATATATATATATATATATGTATATATATATATATATTTAGTAAAATATCCTTGGATTTTGTTCTAGTCTTTTTATATTTTACTTGTCTTTTTGTTTTTTACTATTTTTAATTATGTTTAATTTTTATTATTTAATTTAAAATTGCAGCTTCATGTTTTTTTTAAATAATTTGAATTAATTTTTTGCTTTATTTATTTTAAAATTAATTAATTTCGTATTTTGTTTAAAAACGCTTTAATTCCATTAATTTTTAAAAATTAGAATTTTTTTTTTTTTGACTAATTTTAAAAAAAAAAAATTTTAATATTATAAGAGGCAGAGGCTGGTATATAAATTTTTTTTAATAAATTAAAAATTTTTTAATTTAAAAAATAAAAATAAAAAAAAAATTAAATAAATAATAAAAGAGCAAAAAAAAAAAATTTTAATTAATTTTCTTATTTTTTTTTTAGTTGTAAAATTTCTGTATGACCGTTCAATTAAAGACTCCTGCCAGTATTAAACAAGAAGGTTAATAATTTTATCGTATTATGTGTTTTTTTTTAATATTTATTTTATTATTTTTTTTTGTTATTTTGTTTTTTTAAATAAATATGTAAATAAAATAAATATGAATAATAAATGAAATTATAAATTAATTTACACTATATATATATATATATATATATATATATGTAGAATACTTTGTACTACAACACATTGAAATTTTAAATGTTGTACATATGTATATAAAAAATCGCCGACTAACAATATACTTACTAGTAACTAAAAGTACGTATTTTTATTTATTTATTCATTTTATAAAAAAAAATTTTGCATATATTTGTATGTATATATGTATATATATATATTAAAAGGAAATAAAACTAATTCAACCCCCTAAAACAGTAATAATATTCAATATAAATTTTTTACTGTCATCACATTCACTGTCTTAAATGTAGCTAATTTTTTTTTTTTTTTAAATTTTCAAAATTTATAGTTACGCACTAATAATTTTCCCTATATTTATTTATTATATTTACTTTTCTTTTTTTTTTCTTATTAAGAAAAAAATTATTATTATTAAGAAATTACAAAAAAAAAAAAAAACAATTTAATAACCGAAAAATTAATTTATAAAACCGAAGAAACACCGATCGTGATATTTTCTATGTTGTTTCATTTCTCGTGTTTTCTTGTAAAATGCCGAATAAAAAATATTCAATGTATATTAACCAAGCAAAAAAAAAAAAACAAGAAAAAAATAATTATTATTCAAAAAAACAACAAAGCAAAAATTCTCAAAAAAAAAAACACTAAGTATATATAAAAAATTTGAAATTTTCTATATATGTGTTTGTATATATATATATATATATAAAATTTTACAAATACATTTATGAAACCTCTAACGAAATAATGAGAAAAACAAAAAATATACACAAAATTTTATAAAGCCACCATCAGGCTTTATTGACGAGCATTATTATTATAAAAAAAAAACCAAAAACAACAATAAAAATGAAAATATTTTTATTCCTTAATATTAATATTATTGAGAATTAGATTTAATATATACATAATATATATATAACCATATATACTCTAATATTTACTTGTATGTATGTAATGTTACGGCTTTTTTCTTTTCTTCCTCCAATATTTTCTATATTGAACATAGGTAAGTAATACTAGTACCTATATGGTTAAAGTTAAAGTTAATTCTCAATATTTTGTATTTTACACTTACATTTTATTTTATTTTTTACTAATACAATACAAATATTTCTATGAATACGTATATATACACATATATATATATATATATATATATATTTGTATAAAAATATTTTCGCAATTTATATTAATATAAAAAAGAAATAAAGAGCTTTTTATTTTTTGATTTGATATTTTATATTTTTATTTTATCGTTAACAGCCTTAAAACTTTGTATATATTGTCGTCGTTGTCATCGTCAAAATATAATCTAAGAGACATTTCAATATATATATATATATATATATATATCGAAATAATAAACGCAAAATATTATATTATAATAAATACTATGAGAGAGAATTAGATTTATTTGTAGTTAGATTTAAAATATATGAGAAATATTAATGTTAGGTTTACATGCTTAAAACCTGACATTGTTTATATTTGAAAATGCAAATATTTTTATATTAATTTGAAATTTATCATTAGTAACACAATATTAGAATAAATTTTCAATTTAAATTACTGTATAAAGAAGATTGTAAATGAAATATGTAAAATTAAAAATATATTTGCATAATGTATGCGAAAAATTGGGGTTAATATACAATTTTGAACAACTATTTTTCTACTTATGTCAATTATATTGTTATAATTGCAAGTTTGACTTATGGAACTGAATTATTAACTGGTATTAGGTTAACTAAACATTGATATTTTAGAAAAGTATTTTTGTCCAATTGTAAAATTAGAATACGCCCATATGTATGCAATTATTTCAATTTAAATTCTTAAGCAATTTTGGTTAATTTTATGAAATTTTATTATTAACATACTATTAATACTAAAACAAATAACAAAATTTTAATTAATAATTAATTAAAATATATTGAAATATATGAATTTTCTGGAAATTTTACTAAATTATTTCATATTTTCGCCAACAGTTATGCAATTTTTATTTTTGATATATACCTACCAATACAGTACATTGAAATTTGGAACGGAATACTTAAATTTATTATTTTCTAACATCAAATTTTAATAAAACTACTTACCCCTGCTCTCGTGATAATATTCAAATGTATGTACAAATAGTATGAATGTACAAATATCAACTAGATTACTGTTATGTGAACGACTTTAA